CTTTCCGACTCTGCCATATACTTCTGCAACATAAATGTTCTTTGTCATTCTTTCCTCATTCATTCTTTCCACGTGACCAAACCACCGAAGCATTCCTTTCTTAATCCTGGTCACAGTATCATCTTGCAAAACACATTCTTCTCTAATCACACAATTTCTCACCCTGTCATTCAGATTCTGACCTAACATACTCCTTAAGACCGCATTTCTACTGCGTTCATTCTACTCTCGTGCTTCTTCTGCCACACCCAACTTTCACTACCATACGTTAAAGTAGGGACCAACACAGCATTGTGAATTGCCATACGTGCCTTTTTCGACACATTTTGACTCTTTACTATTTGTTTTCTATTGAGTGTAGGGCCCGATTTACTTTATTGCCTGCATAAATATATAAATTATATCTGTGTCTTTGTAATCCTTACACAAACAATTTAAAACACTTTACTCTGTCAGTATTTGTCAGTGTGTAATTTGCTCGTACATATTGCCAATTTTATAAACAAAATTTTATGGCGATGAACCCCTATTGAGTTTACGGGCAGCTGTTGCGATCACCGCATCCACAATATCGATGTCCCCGAACCGGTGCTCTGATGAATGTCTTTTGGTTGGCTGCTGGACTCACGCTGCAGCTTTGTCATCTTCTTTTCAGCCAAAATGTCCCATATGCAATATAGGCTGCAATTATAACTCTGACTACGGTGTACAACACATAGTTGGGTGAGTCATATGTAAGTGATTGTACATTCTGCGCTTGTTGCAGTTCCTTGAGCTTATCAATGTTATTTTTTAGCTCTAGTAAGGCGCCATTATGATCTTCAGGAAAAAATGTATGGTGCCGGTGCCATTCTGATCTTCAGGAACAAATGTATGGTGCCGGCGCAATATCAGCATATTTCCTAAACTATTAAATACCATGTACTTGCTCGTACACTAACATTAAATAAAAGGGTTTTTGTTAAATAAAGCTACTAAATATACTTTCTATTTGTTCAAATCATACAAAACTCTACGAGCAATGTACTCGTAATATAAATTTTATTTCAGTTTAAATACAGTTCGGGTAGAGAAAATGTACTCGATGTTCTTTTTTTCATTTATTTTCATTTATTAAAAGGAATCTGATAATATTGCGATAAACCACGTCTACAGGGACTTACTTTTAATATTTACCTGAATTTTATTCTCTCTTACATTTACGATGTTCGTAAAGAACGGTGGGTTAAACACTCCCCTTTCTATATAGGAAAACGTGAAGATTTTATCCATCTGACTCGGATTACTTTGCGGATTATTACGTTTGCGTACGAACTACGTTTGGTACGTAATTTTTGTTAAAAAGCATGTTATTGCTTCTAAGAAAGTTGGTCACTTCAGATTCAGTTTGAAGACTGATCGTATTGTTTAAAAATCTTTTGGTCTATATATTACTCGTGAAAATGAATTAAGAGGTTATTTTTACAAACAAAACTGCGATTTTTGGCATTCCTTGGGGGAGGCCTATTTATAATAGTGAGTTTGCGTAAGGCTGTAATGATGACGTTGATGATGATGATTTTATAAATAATAATTATAATGAGAACATCAATATAATAACTACATCTTACCCAAGCATTCGCTTTATATGATATAAATACTTTCTTGGTCATTCTCTAAAGCTGATGCTAAAAATGCACACTATAATTATATTTATGCAGTGTTATTATATAATATAACTACGCCTCATCTACAAAAGTAATCCCTTACTACCTAAAATTAAAAATATATTACTTATCACCAGTTTATTCACAATAGCAATCAAAGTATTTTATTATTTACACAAATAAAATTTGAAAATAATATTAATTTTTTAAATATAATTAATCAGCTAGCTAACTGTAATTCCGTTACATTACTTGTTAGGTAACTGTTAAAGCCAGACCGGAAAAAAAAAATTGTCATTTTGCGAAAAATAAAGAGAATTGCTGTGAGCAAAATACATGAATTTTTTATACTGATCGGCATTTATACTCAATTCCCATGTAAAAACTTTTATGTTTTAACTATTTTAATTGAAATCAATCAGTATAAACGTCTGACATTTATTATATTAAAATATCGATAAGCAATATATCGATAAAATTATTAGAAGATTTTATAGCACTATTATAATTCTATACTGTCAGCACTGTTTGTCAAAAGTTAAATGTCATATTTCGACTTAAATCTGAAATATGTTTACTGGTTAGAAATAATATCGACTGGTTCCCTCAATATTCCGCCCTAAAAACTTAATCAAAAATAAAATTAACCACGGTTACATCAAAATTACAAATCGTAAACACTGGCCCCTATGCAATGTCAATAAAAATATATCATAAAATCCCAGTTCGAAAAGGAAGTCCCTCAATTTTTTCAGGAAATTTTTGGTGCTAAGTAGAATAAAGGAATAAATAATATGTTTTTTCTCTTCTCTCTATGATCTCACTATTATTTAATTGTAAATATTCATGAAATATTAATAATGATAATTCTATAAATAATACTATATAAATATAATAATACTAATATTAACAATAGCTAATATTTGCAGTGCCCTTGCATAGTTCTTGTCTTGAACTATTTTTTATAATTAAGACTAAATGTGCACAACAAGAATAGCAAATAAATTGAATTGAATTGAATTATATGTATAAATTATAAATAAAATACGCCAATTTTTTTTATTATTCGAACTATTATATTATACTACATTGTAAATATTCGTTTAACTTTAAAAACTAATAGTTAGGGAGGTATGAATACTAAGTCTTCACAGACACACGTTACATAAGCAAGGTAGATACCGTTTGTAATCCCAATATCATACGCTCACTAACAATACACCCCGACTTCACACGGCTGTTTTCCTGATCTCGACAACAGCTACTCACTGGCTCCAACTGTGACTACAAGTGTTCATTAAAATCGGTCTAGCGGTTCTCATGTGATGAACTTTAATACAATTGATTTTAATTTATATAGATTTATCGCTATTTCATAGCGGAAAACCATTGAATATTCGACAAAGCTTTATCTGCTTGGGTATAAATATTTCGAAATCATGAAGTTGAGGCAGCATCTTGATAATGTGTAGCGGTGGCATAAAAAAACACTACGTGCTACCAAATAATACTATTATCACTTAGAACTTCTAAGACCCCACACCATCCCGTAAGTATCATAAAATACAACATAAGGAAATGAAACATTTATCTTATCTTCCAGAAAACAACTCAAGTTAATAAAAAAATGTGGTTGCCAAACCACTTGCTAAAAGAGGAAACTACGGCAAATATTCTCCCTACGTTCAGCAGTGGACTTTTTATAGTCTGTAATTAATGAATTAATGATGGTTAATCTTGAGGGAACGGAGAGAAAAACAGGTGATATGTTATATATATCTTATATAGATTTTAAGTATTGATTACTACAATACATTTTGGCAGCGGGCGATTATGTTTTTGTCTCATATTTCCTGAAGAAAAATTTTAAATTGACATTAAACAACAGATAAAAACATGTTTATTGAGTTTGAACCTAATTTTGGATTTTATAATCGTAAAATTTACAAAGAATCGTGTGTTTGGAGCATAAAAGTAAAGTAAAGTTACAGCCTATATACGTCCCACTGCTGGGCACAGGCCTCCCCTCATTTTGAGAGGGTTTTAGGGCAAGGAAGTGTCCACCGCGCTGCCCCAATGCGTGTTGGCAAACTTCACATGTCTTAGAAATATTTTTTCTTTATTCCTCAGACATGCAGGTTTCCTTCACCGCCGAGCACGTGGTAAATCAGCACTTAAAATTGAAATTAATAATTTCATTGGTGCCGGCGGGGATATTTGTAGCATACAAAGCATTATTTCATTGCTTTTAAATTACAAAGTGAGTACTTAACATTTATCTTTTAGTAGAAGATTGTACAAAACTAATTGATGTGCTGTCGACTCTTCAAACATAAAATAGCAATTATTATTGAAATATTTCAAAATATATATTAATAGTCAAATTTTATCGGTGGTTACCGGGTCCAGTAAATCACTAAACAAGGACTACATCCATAGCTGTTATACCATTATATATTATAGTTTGCTTAAATGCACCGACTAATAAGATGCTACGCATTTTAAACGTGTTAAAAAACCTTTTATTTACGCTAAGAAAAAATTATACCTGCTACGATTGCATTTGCAATTGGTTTGCACACTATTTACAAATAAATATGTATTAAAATTTAATTGATACCTTTTTTCACGATGATTGTGAACATCGATCAAAAGTTTAAAATGTGCGAACTTGCTCAGTCTGCCAACACAATTTATTCCTTTTCTTTGTTTTCAGAAAGAGACGGGCTGTAAAATTGTTGAACTTGAAAGTTGTGAATCCGTTGTTACTGCCTTGGAATAAAGTTTTATTTAAAATTAAAATGAGTTTGTAACATTCATTTATTTAAATGACCAATGAGCGAATTGGGTTTCTAGTAGTGATAATACAACGTAACCGCTTGTATATGTGCTCCAGTCTATACATGGTGACTTAGAGGAAATTATAATTTTTAAATCATTTATATTATTAACTACTCATATTTTGTTTGTACTTATAGTCCCATCCACACATGAATTTAATAGCCCCGGCACGGTCAACTCAGCCGGAAACAAAATCTTTTGTTAACAGTCCACTCTCCCAGCAATCTAGGACCATGAAGATAATTAGAAGCGAACGGAAGTATATATATATATATATATATATATATATATATATATATATATATATATATATATATATATATATATATATATATATATTAAAAAAGCACCCCACATCTCTTACACCTACATCTAGTATAACACATATCAGAATATCACAGAGAGACAATAAAATTACATTAATTACTACACAATAATCAACTCGGAACATAATAATTTCTTTACAATTAATTATTAAAGATATTTATATGAAAATAAGGATATGCCAAACGCCTACGGTTGTTTAACGCACGGTGGTCGGATCCCAAGCGTATTTTTTTTCTTGTTTCCTAGGTTATTGAGGGCTTTAATGTCGTGTTCTGTGAGGCGAAATTCAATAGTGATATTCTCACGGATACGGGCTGGGTCCACGGACTTGGGGATGACTGCCACGTCCTGCTGCAGCGCCCAGGCCAGAAGCACCTGCGCGGGCGTAGCCTCGTGGCGCTCAGCGATGCCCTTCACTACGGGGTCCTTTAAGAGTGTCGTATCTTGATGGGAAGTACCCCCGAATGAGCAGTAGGCCTGCAGGCAAATCTCATTCTTCATGCAGTAGGCGCGTAAATCTTCCTGATAATAATATGGATGCCACTCGACCTGAGGTAAACACACATTTTTAACCAACTTGAAAGGACAGAGTATGTCATGCAATCGAGTATATTCAAAATTTGAAATCTTTTTATTTACATATTCAAGATTTACATATTATATCACTTATAACGACGACGACGACGTTGACCTCTCAATGTAATGAATGGAACTTTTTATTTAGATAGTGTACGTAATGATGTAAAATTAGTGGAGTGAATAAACAAATATTTGTTTTTAAAAAAACTAAATGTGCTGACATTTGTGCATTGGGGAAAACTGGTCCAATTCAAACTTTCAATTTCAGTATTTTTCAAGACTATGTCTTGTAGACTTTTACTTTTTGATTAAAATATTCAACTTCAAATTTCGAACAACACCAAACCAAAGTAATAGTGAATATGTCAGCTACAAAACTTTCTTTTTCTTTGACCTATCATTTCATTTTTATCATTGTTTAATCCTCTAAAACTAAAAATTCAGGTGTCTTATGAGGAGCGTATTATTAAATAAAACTCGATTTTACAACGGAAATACAAAAAAGTTTGATGCGGCTTTGTTTTACATAAACTCGACACACACAGTCAGTTAAATTAATCAAGTTGAACTGACGTAATTAAGGCATCAGTTGAAACGGACGTAAGCCAAAACGATTTTGCCCAGTCATTGGGTTCAAAACGGCCCTCTAGTTCTTGAGGCAGCGACCGAAATTTTGCACCCATTCCTACTAAAGCTAATTTTTCTGTCAAACAATGTTTATACCGTGCAAATAATAAAAGTGAAAGTCTACCAAGCTGTTAGTGTTGCAAACAATTTTTTAAACGTGAAAATAAATAATACGTAAATTTATTATACCTAAAAGACTGAAACGTCTTACAGTGACCAAGGATACCTAAATATACAGGATAATGATTGTCTACCGCCTGGTAAACGTTGCCATCTAAGGTTTACCACCCACGTAATGTGTTGAAAACATTGGCATATTTAAGCTTTCGAGGGTCATATTCAAACCGTCATAACTTCTAAACTATCTTACTTAGGGTTATGATGTAAGACTTACTTTAAAGCACACATTCTGTACTTACGTTTAAAAATAAAAAAAACATATAACTTAGAAAGAATAAAAAAAAAAAAAAAAACTTTTTAAAAATATCTTTCCTCTTAAAAAATAAAAAATTTATCAATGATAAAGCTATCAATCCTCCGTTCCCCACGAAACAAAATGGCTGCCAAGTCAACATGGAGAGAGAGAAAGAAAGGAATCCCCCACCCACACATTCAAATTACCAAGTAAACACTTTTTTTAGTTTGTTAATAAATTATAAAAGTACACTTATTAAAATAAACAAAAAAAAGTTAATTTTTCAACACATTACACATTACGTGGGTGGTAGAGTAGGTATCAATGCTTCCGAGGCGGTAGACAATCATTATCCTGTATATTTCGGTAGCCTTGGTCACTGTAAGAAGTTTCAGTTTTGAAGAAATAATACATTTACGTATTATTTATTTACAGGTTTCAAAAATTGTTATAAATGTTTGCAACAACGTCGGCGCGGCAGACTGCTATTCTGTTTACGTACGATCTCAAACTAACAAAATAACAAAGAATCAGCTTTGTAAGAATAATCGCACAAATAATGTCACTGCCTTGCGGACTATTTATTTCTCGATCGACGGATTGCAAGCACGTGAATGTACCTACATTATGAATACAAATATATTTTTCTACGGAATCAACTTTCTCAGTCCAAAACATTAGCTTTTCTCTAAAAATTCTATAAATTCTCACTCAACCAAAATGTATGATTTAGAAAGTTAATCCTATAGTAAAAGTTGTTCGTACATTCAACTCTCATTCTGTTTGGCAATTCTAAATAAACACCTGTGTATGTTTGAGGTGTAACTAGGGTAGAGGATACATCATAAAATTTAGACAAGTTTCTTTATTAATATGTATTCAATCAATGTGTCTCTTTTTTAACCTAAAGATATTGTTACGAGCTTGAGGTTCGTGACAATAAAAATTGCCGATAAAATTACCTAAATTAACACTTTAATTTACTTTACACAAATTAAAACTTAAAACACTAATAATTCACTTAATTCCGCTCCGAAGCTTCGCTTGTCTCGCCAAATCAACACTGCTCCGATCGCATCTTGCAGCGCCTACTTATTTAAATTAGCAAAGAAATATACAGAATGTTCAAGTAAACACGCGCAAGGTACCAAGCGTTCGAGTTTCGACTAGGCGCTGTCAGTTGAGTGATTTGTGATGTCATTTTCTCAATGCTCCCCTCGCTCTCGTTCCTGACACTAGATGGCGCTAGTGTATCGTCGACTTGAGCGCGTAACACTGCCCCCTCCTAAGGCATGCTCGTCTCGAGCATTATCGGCCCCATAATAACGCGCCAAGCGATTCACATGGACGATCTTAGGAGTCCCTCTTGCGCCTTTCTGTAACGGCTCCGCAATGTCCTTGACATTGACGCTGTCCTATCCCGTGGTGCACCAACATTGTACAATTTCGGTGCTCCTCTACTACGTGTCCGAGGTCCCCGCACGGCCGCACAACTTGTACATGTACGACACCAATCCTCGACATCGTGACGATAATGGACCCAGTAAAACTGTTCTCGGACCTTCAGTAGAGTTCGTTTAACTCCCAGATGGACTCTTGAACGACCATTATGGCACAACTGTAGAACATTCGGCACTTTAGCTTTAGGGACAACCATTTGCAAACGACAGCTGTCTCTTCGACCATTGTCCCATTTACGGCACAGGAATCCATCCTGAATCAGCAAGCTGTCCCATTGGGTCCAATAGCTTTTCGTGGTTGAACTCATCGCTGAGACGTCCCTCCACTTAGGCTTGGTAGCACGGGCCTTCATCCATCCAAGAATCGGCTTGATGTCCGGATCTTCCTGCTGTGCATGTCGTAGGTTGTCCTTCCACCCGTTGCTGAGATGGTCTGTCCTGAGCATCCTCACGGATACCACCTCCTTACTCTCTTGCCTACTACAATGTTTGCAATCTTCAGGACAAGGTCTTCTTGACAATGCATCTGCGTTGCCGTGAGATTTCCCGCTGCAGTGTCTGATAGTAAAGTCGTATTCCTGCTGCTGCTGGGCGGTGCTGTTAGCCGTACTTCCTTTCTGAGACCGTTCACCTTCCCTTCGTAGGGTGTGCTCAGGGCAGCTGGACCGAAGATGGCCCCTTTCCCCACAGCCATAGCACCTAGGGCTGTATCTTTTATTGTGGTCGCGAACCGTAACTGCTGTAACCTCCCTAGCGTGAGGTGAACGATGATCCTGTCGCCGCCAGGCAGTGTCGTTAGCTGCACTACCCTCTCGAGATCGATCAACTCTCCTTTCCACGGTTCGCTTAGGGCAGCTGATTCGAAGATGGCCTTTTTCCCCACAGCCATAGCACCTAGGGCTGTATCCTTTGTTGCGGTCGCGAACTGTAGCTGCCGCAACCTCCCTGATGCGATGGGAACGATGATCCTGCCGCACGGCTTCCACTTCCAGTGCATGGGCCAAGGCGTTCTTAAGCGTCTCGTGGTGCCCGAGCCTCACAGCAGCTCTGAATTCCAGGTCGCGGATGCCGTCGATGAATGTCTGCACCAGGTTCCCTTCAATGAGCGCAGGTACAGACCGGTATGCTTTCCACACCAGCTTCTCCACCTCTAGAGACCACTGCTGCAGGTTTTCGTTGATGCGCTGCACGCGATCTTTAAGCTGCGCACGAAAGACGTGTTCCAGGTGAGCGTCGCCATATCTCGCCTCCAATGCCTCAAGGAGTTGCTCATAAGTCACTTCCTCACCGAGAGCTTCCAGAACTGTTAAGGCCTGGTCACGCAGGCCTAGTGTGAGAGCAGTCATGGCCTGATTTTTATTCCAGCCGTTCGCCTTCATAACAGCCTCGAACTGGATTTTGTAGGCTGACCAGGAAGAAGTCCCGTCGAACGGTGGCACTTTGAACCCACGTAGCGAAGGTGTAGTAGCTACTACGGGAGCTGAAGTTCCATTACCCAGTTTGAGGTCGTCCAGCGTTTTCTTCACGTCAGCCACCACGTAATCAACCCGATTGTTCACTTGGTCGATTTGGGTTTTAGCTTCCTTGATTTGGGTTTCAGCTTCCGACAGGCGGTTGTCATGTTGAGCAACCTTATCCTTCACCTCCTTTATCTCTTTCCCAAAGGTAGCATGAAGGTCCTTAATGAGGAGCATCTGCTCTTCCGACCGACGGGCCTGTTCCTCCTGTCGGCGGGCCTGCTCCTCTTGTCCGCCCCGCAGCTGCTCTTCCAATCGGCGGGCCTGTTCCTCCTGTCCGCTCTGCAGCTGCTCTTTCAACTGACGGACCTGTTCCTCCTATCGGCGAACCTGTTCCTCCTGTCGGCGAGCCTGTTCCTCCTGTCGGCGAGCCTGTTCCTCCTGTCGGCGAGCCTGTTCCTCCTGTCGGCGAGCCTGCTCCTGCAGCATCACCATCAGAGCACCTAAGTCAGGTGCTGCAGATGTAGGAGCTACCGACGGGCCTTCAGCCGGTGGCTGGCCCTCCGACGTCTGCGGCGTTGCACCACCAAATCTTCGTTGGTCCGTCTCCTGCTGGCGTTGACTTCGGGTACGGACACCCTCGGTTTCCTCCTTAGGTAAAATCGGCATGATTTTATCCCACTTCTGACACCAATTGTTACGAGCTTGAGGTTCGTGACAATAAAAATTGCCGATAAAATTACCTAAATTAACACTTTAATTTACTTTACACAAATTAAAACTTAAAACACTAATAATTCACTTAATTCCGCTCCGAAGCTTCGCTTGTCTCGCCAAATCAACACTGCTCCGATCGCATCTTGCAGCGCCTACTTATTTAAATTAGCAAAGAAATATCCAGAATGTTCAAGTAAACACGCGCAAGGTACCGAGCGTTCGAGTTTCGACTAGGCGCTGTCGGTTGAGTGATTTGTGATGTCATTTTCTCAATACTCCCCTCGCTCACGTTCCTGACACTAGATGGCGCTAGTGTAACGTCGACTTGAGCGCGTAACAATATGTTTATTTTTGTATATCCTACTTATTACACTTAGACTTAAAAACAATTAATGATAGACTCTTCAAGAATGTTGCAAATAGTTCAAAAATTCAGTAGCTTTATTAGCTCTGATTGACGGCAAGCGGAAATAAGCACGCTCGCTTACGGTCAGTTTGGAGTGATGCAAACAAACTAAAGCCACTGGTTGGCTGGATTATGGTACGCCCGGGAAAATCCATTGGTCAGTTAAAAATTTCAACTTAAGATTTCACACTCGCGGTCGGTCGGATGAGTGTCAGTTCAACTGTGTATATGTAGAGAACTGGAAATCCTTTTTACAGTTATGAGGCATTCTATATTGGCACTTACTCAATCATGCGACAACGCATCTGCATTTTGATTCTTAATAAAAGAATGGATATGTATGGGACACAGCTTCCTCCACTTACCATCAAGAAGACAGTATGGTCGTTAGTCAGTTACTTTTATACGGCCACTGATGGACATAGGCCTCCTCTCATATCTGCCCCAATGCATGTTGGTGGAATATTTTTAGTTTCTTAAATGTGGTTGAAATATATGTGGACGCGGTAGAGCCATGTTACATGTTATTATTATTTTGATTTTAGATTTTATGGTTATCGACAGATGGCATACAAATTATTTCTTACGCTAGGTGTAAAATATGCGATAGGTCTTGTACTGCTTTTGTCAATTTGTGTAGTAAGAGGAAAGAATACGTGGCGCGCCGCGCTATATTATAGTTTTAGCACGAATGGCTCAACTTGATCAGGGTCACTTCAATCTCACAAAATACCACTGTAAAACAGCAACTTAATGCCGCTGTGTTTCATATGGTGAGTGTAAACCGGAGACCCTTTTTGCTGCAAACAAGGCATTCCATCTCAGTACTTAGTGGTGAAAATGCATTTGTATTTTGATTCCTAATTGTAGATGCCTATGGGTCACCAAAGCAACCACTTACTTAATCGCATCTACAAAAAAAACTTGGGAGGATGTTCTCCTTCATTGCATAGCATGTAATAAATCAGGGTAATGCATGATGCATGGGTATTGATATGATTATAATTAATACATCATATTTATCTATTATTACTATATGACAAATGGTTAGTGATAAATTTAATAAGTAATACCTGATTAACCACTGGATATACACCAGTGGCCCTCATATTCAAATCCTTGAGATGCTTGAGAGTAAAATTAGAAACACCTATGGAATTTACGCAGCCTTCGTCGTATAGATCCAACATTCCTCGCCAAGTACTCGCTCGCAACTTAGCATTTCTCTGGTCGCCAGAAGGAAGCCTTGCAGCACCGGGGAAGTGGATCAAAAACAGGTCAATATAATCCACACCGAGATTGTCTAAAGACTTCTGGTAAGCTTGCTTTATCACAGCTGAGTTACCATGTTCTGATGGAGCTGAATAAAAGAAATATTTCCACTATTAATTTAAAACCTTGATCATTGTTGATTATAATTTTGTCAGTTATCTTCAGTTATTACCAAAATAATAAATACATACATTTTGTAATAAGCTATATGGAATGAGATGAGATTCTCTAAATCTAAAGAATGTACTGAAGTATGACTGATACATAATTACAAGTTATAAAGTGACACAAGAGTTATTATAGAGATGGTATACTCACATAATTTCGTGGTAATAAATATATCTTCTCTTTCCAAATTATACTTAGGGAGCAATTTTCTAAAAGCATCACCCAGAGCCCTCTCGTTGCCATATACTGCTGCAGTATCTGTACCAAAACATGAAAAACATTGTTTCATTACTGTCAGGTCTTTACATACTATATATACTATGTAAGATCTTTACCACTTTATATAACAAAATAGAAATAAGAAATGTTGACAAAAGGTAAAAATATTTGTGATTAAAGAAAATTTATTTTCTCAAAAGTAATACATTACATACAAAAGAATTGAAATTGTGTGTTAATATATATTTACCATATAAACGATAACCAGCTGCCAGAGCTTCATCCACAGCCTGCATTATAACATCGGGTTGGCGCACCCTATATGTGCCCACTGCAAAAGATTTTCATTTCATTATCAATCATTAGCTTTATTCATAATGTTTGTTTGTTTATTGTAGGTACAAATTGTTTTACTAAATTTTTTAACTTTAGAATAACTTAATTTCTTTCTTTTAAAAATAATTTAATTTAATTAAAAACACAATGATAAAATCAGTATAATATGTATAAAATACTGTAAAACTAAAAGGAACTTCTTTTTGTAAAAAACTTTTTTAAACTTATCTTCATCAATGAACGTTTTGTAAAGAGTTCTACATAGTTTTATGGATATTTTTTATTTTGATGTTTTTATAATTTATTTAATTTTTGTTTACTGTGTGTTTGTAAGCTCGCAAAATAAACAAACAGCTGTTAAATATATAACACTATAAATCATTGGAATAATAATACTCACACCCAACTGCAGGCAACTTAACGCCGTTGTTGAGCGTAAAGGTATCGATGAAACCGGAGGCATAACGGCATCCACAGCTTTTATTCTTGATGCACTTGTACCTAAATTAAAAACATTTAATATAATAAATGAATAATTTAAAACATATATCAACAAAAACACGTGTCAGCAACAACACATAATCTGTTAAATATTATATAGTTACATTAATATCTCTAACAATAAACCAAATGGGCAAACTATAACATGATGCATGAAGGTACCAATAAATAAACTATCTAGACTAAAAGGAAAGCCATAAGGCACTGAACAAATAAAAATAAAAATACAAAAAATATAAAATACGAAATACAAATCACGTCACAACACTCGTAAAAATATCGTGCATATACATTTATAAACTAATTAATACCTCGCTTCATTTTTACTAGATATTTCTAAGCGGAAAAATTTTTTGGTAGCAGGACGCAGAAGTTATCTGTACTTTATTTATAGTTAACGTCGTTGCATTATCGATTGTACCGAGGGTAGTTTATAAACGTAAACGACAATTACGCCCAAAAGAACTACCTTGTCTAGTTATCTATAGTTATCTATAGTTTTTTGCTCTAAAAACTGTTTTGTTCTGTGTGCGGTGTGAGAACTCGCATTGTCGTGATGGAGGATGATGCGGCGGTTGCAGTTCTCTTTACGGAGTTCAGAAACGACCTGTGGCAAACAAATGCTAGCATACCATTCTGCATTAACCGTTCTTTATCCCTCAAGAGGAATAGTCGTAACATGTCCGGTTTTGGAGACAAACGTTGTCACCATTTTTTTGCAACACTCCATGAGCGAACAATTTTTGTGACTGGTTTTTGTTTCGGGTTCGTACGCGTATATCCAGGATTTGTCACCTGATACGATGTTGTATACAGCGTTTGAGGATCCTGTGTGGAATCTTTAGAGAGTTCTGATGCACCAAGTTACGCGAGCCGCTTTTTGCTCTTCACAGAGCGAATACGGTATCCATCGGGAAAACAACTTTTTACACCTAATTGTTGTGCAAGATTATTTGTAGTACCCGGTTGAACGAGCTTTGCTCGGTATTTTTCGCTCGGTTTTTTTTTAATTCGTGTGTTTTGGAAATTATATTTAGATACAAATTACATACTGATGAAATACGAATAATATTTTTTGATCTTAGCGACATAATAGAAAAAACTGAACTGATTATTTGAATAAAAAAATCATGATTGCAATTAGTTTAATTAAAATTTTCGTGTTTTTAAAAATACTAAAAAAAAAGGGCTCGAAAAAATAGATTTTCTCAAAAAAAGAAAGGAACTTGAAAAAAAAATTAAAAAAAGTAGGTCGGTCGGTCTGGGCTCGAACCATGGTATTACGATTTATTGACCGCGCAATATACCAATTAAGCTATTTGTAATCGTTTATAAACTGTCAAAATTTACCTTCTTATTCTAACGATATTGTAGCAGTTTTTCATTGCCTAAAAACACGGACAAAAAGATATTTTCTAAAAATAAATCCTAGCTAGATCGATTTATTGCCCCCGAAACTCCCTACACACAAAATTTATCTCAATCAGCTTACGCACAGCATCAACGTTTTCTTGGGTGACTGCAGTTTTTGGACGACCTTGACAGGGATCATCACTGAGCTTGACATGTCCACGTTAAAATTCAGCAAACCAGCGATAAATTGTGGGTTTGGATGGGGCTTCATCACCAAATGCAGAAATCATCCGGTCAACACACTTTTTTTGTGTTAAACCACTTCGAAAGTCATAATAAATCATCGCTCTTCAACGACTAAACAAGTTTGACAAAACCTAGTGATAAGACCGAGAATCTTTTTTAAATAAATAAATGGTATTCGATTTTTAAAACCAAGGAGTTTTCAATTAAAAAGATTTTAATATGACAGAAACAGTGGAATTATTACATTCCCGATACTTTTAGTGCAGCCTAGTATAGGAGTAAGGTCTAAGATACAAAAGCTTCACCGTTTTGACGGCTCCGTAGCTTACTAATGTGTTGCAGTGCTGAGGGCCGCGGGTTCGAAACCAACACGTAACAATTATTTCTACGGTTAGTTCCGGGTTAGGATGTTTATCCTTTTAAAACTTATATATGTAAACTGTTTTTAGAATACTCGACAATATCCTTATGTGTAGGATAACGTTTCAAAAAAAGAAAATTTAATGTAGTATACAATTTTTTCACCAGCTAATCAATTCGTTTTTGGTTTTTTTTATAGATGAGGGAGGCAAACGAGCATGCGGCTCATCTGATGTTAAGTGACTACCGCCGCTCATGACCAACCGCAACACCAGTGGAATTGCATTTGCGTTGCCTGCCCTTTAGAAAGGAGTAAGCTCTTTTCTTGAAGGTCCCCAGGTCGTATCGGTCCGGAAAAATCGCCGCTGGTAAACTATTCCACAGAGACGTCGTACGCGGAAGAAAACTCCTTTTGAAACGTACAATGGTGGACCGCCATGCATCCAGATGGTGTGGATGATATCGGGACGTTTGCCGTACACGGCAAATTTTCCAGCCGCCAAATCTCGTGAACGCACTGTAGTGCGTTCACGAAATTTTGCGGCTGGGATTAATCCGAACAATTCCTCAGAGCGCTCCCCATGGTATATGCGAAAGAAAAGGCAAAGAGATGCAACATCTCTTCGCAGCCCCAGTGAATCGAGCCGATCGGAAAGCACTCGGTCGTCGACGATTCGAGCCGCTCTGCGCCGGATGCAGTCAAGTGGAAGGAGCTGGTACTGGGGAGCCCCAGCACAGAGATGGGAACACTATTCCATGTGCGGCCGAACCTGCGCCTTGTATAGTTGCAGGCGGTGTGCAAGCATTATATCGTTTATTTATGTATTACATAATATTATTAACAAAAATTGTTTTTTTTTTAGGACCATGTAGTGTTGGCGTAAGATATTCCATTACCCCAGGTCATCCTATGGGTGTCGTAAGAGACCACATAAAACAGGACAACAGGAAATGAACAGCAGCATCTTCCTGATTACAACTTAAATTAATTAAAAAAACTGTTTCCTACCCTGATATATATATATATATATATATATATATATATATATATATATATATATATATATATATATATATATATAATATTGCTTAACGTTTGAACTGCACGTATGCAACGAGAATAAAAACCCAGCTGACAACATTAAAATTCTAAACGCCAGCTTACCACGTGATTGACAATATAAGAAAAACATTGGAAGATAACTGAATGACGGGAAAATAATTTGTAAGTACATGTCAGTTAAGGTACCCAACACGGATTTGTATGGCGCAAGGTTCTCTTCCATGCTTCAAAACTCTCAGATGTTGAAGCAGGCTTGTGCTCAGCAATTATTATTATATAATTGAAACGTCCGGACAAACCTCGTATAATTTCTGATGCAACGTTTATAGTCGCCGGGCACAGACGAGTAGGTTGGTTGTTCTCACTACTTGGCCCGAGTATTCGCCTGTTCCTCAGTCCATCTCGGTTTTACGGCGGGAGTAAAAGGAATGCTCGCGTTATATTCATGTTGGTGTTTACATACTCATCATTATTCGCTTGACACGTGAATTTTGTTGTAGGTGGTCATTATTTTTCTTATAATATAATTTAGTAAAATAATAATAATACCTACCTACTGTGATGGATTAGGGTTACGAATATACTATTTTTATAGAAATTTAACAAGGAGAACCCGTGCTATGGAGTCCTGGAAAATAAAATCAGTTTTAAAGAAATGTAAATCGTAATAAATATGTCATCATTATTTTCATTAGAGCCCTTCACAAGTCCACTGCTGAACATAGGCCTCACCCAAGGAATGCCAAAAAGTACGGTCCTGAACCATCTGCATCCATCGATTTCTTGTATGTCTTGCCAGGTCATTACTCCATCTACTGGGGGGCCACCCATACCCCTGAATAAATATTTGTGATTCTAATAAATATCAAGTAGAAAAAATCGTGGCTACGAGAAGCATGTCTTCGATGTTTTAAAGATCTACATTGAATGAGTACAGACGAGTACCTATGTAAACGCGTCGTACAAATATATATATATATATATATATATATATATATATATATATATATATATATATATATATATAAACCAAAAACTAATTGATTAGCTGGTGAAAAAATAGTATACTACATAAAATTTTCTTTTTTTTGAAACGTTATCCTACACATAAGGATATTGTCGAGTATTGTAAAAACAGTTTACATATATAAGTTTTAAAAGGATAAACATCCTAACCCGGAACTAACCGTAGAAATAATTGTTACGTGTTGGTTTCGAACCCGCGGCCCTCAGCAATGCAACACATTAGTAAGCCACGGAGCCGTCAAAACGGTGAAGCTTTTGTATCTTAGACCTTACTCCTATACTAGGCTGCACTAAAAGTATCGGGAATGGAATATTACCACTGTTCATGTCATATTAAAATCTTTTTATTATGTATATGTATATATTATTCTAATAAATATCAAATAGAAAAAGTCGTGGCTACGAGACGCATGTCTGCGATGTTTTAAAGATCTACATTGAATGAATACAGACGAGTACCTATGTAAACGCGTCGTAGAAATTATATATATATATATATATATATATATATATATATATATATATATATATAATATAGAATGCCTAGGTAAAGTATAACAAACAATTTTTCAAACATTAATTGTATGTTTTAGGGTATTCTATAGAATACCTAAGTTATGTTTTACAATACCAGATTATATAGATTGGCGGTAAGAAATTCTGATTATCATGTTGGTAGCTAATAAAATAAGTTTGTAAAGAGCTTTGTAAAGTAATAAAGTTGCAATAAAGTAGTGAAGTATCGCAAACTCAAGTGAAGGGTCCAGACCTTAGAGTTCTAGACCCGCGCCTAGTTAACTAAGTTAAAATAGGATAGATAATGTTGCTGATATTATAATAAAATTAATAATTTTTTTAAATACTTTATCGTTCAATCAAGATTTAATTTAGGAGTAAGCGTTCGCTGTAAATTTCACAGCACGCATTCGACCCAGGCTCAATTCCAGGCAGCACCAATTAAATTGTGGTTGCGCGGAAAACCATTCGTATTTATTTTATTTGACGGTTGGCTGCCAAATTGGTTATCCCTTTCCAAAAACGATATCATTCATACCCTCCTATCGACACATCGGGGTGGTGGGGTGGGAGGGGAAAGAAGATGATTC